ACATCTATCTAGTGTATCTCTGAGGCCGCGTCCCACATACAGCAACTAGAAGGATGTGCAGCTATGACATACACCTATCTACTGGGGCTTTGGGGGAAAAATAAATAAATAAATAAAATTATTAAAAAAAAAGAAAAGAAAGAGGAGAGAAAGGCTGAAAAAGCAAAGAGGCAAGTTGAGGGTGGGGGGCTCCTCTATGGCTCCTGGGTCTTCTCCTCATAGTAATGTGGTTTCGTCATGATAAGCTCACGCTTGGCTGGATTATATCTGCTCACCTCTTTTATCCTTTCTGTTCTGGTTGGGAGGGTCTTATTCTTTCAGGCGGGGTGGGGTAGGGGCACCTAGGGTTCAGCTACATCAACACTGAGGACCATATGTATGTGTGTATGTGTGTTTACATGTATGCATATATGTGTATCGTATATGCACGTGTGTAAGTGTACGTACATATGTGCGTGTGTGTGCGCGCACTATGTATGTATGTACGGTTGTGAACATGGCCTGAATACACAGGCACACCTGAGCTGAACAGCAGCAGGTGGATAAATTACAGAGAAGTCAATGAAGGAAAACTGCCATGAGTCATGTTAGGAAGACTGATGGTAGTAAGTAAAGTGACCCTGTCCTTTTTAATGGAATTTGAAATAGTTTCACCCAAAAAAAGGTGCTATCTTGGAGATACAGGAATACGCAAACATTTTCCCTGTTGCTTCATGAGGGGTTTTCAGGACCAAATTACTGTCATGGTGAGGCAGAGGAAGACTGCTCTGTGGGTGACTCTTATGACCCAACCTCACGCCTGGGGAGGGAGGGAAGGCAAGGAGGAGGGTGTGGTCTTTTTGTTGACACACTGTGTGCACTAGTCAGCCACTTAATCTCTACAACTTAGTGCTTCAGATGAAGGTGAGACTCAGAATCATGGGGTTACTTGCTCTAGATCACGCAGTCAACTGGCACTGAAGGCCACAAGTAACCAGGGCACCTGACTCCACCGCTGAAGAATTCTGCTCACTGTTCCGAGAGGCCTCCTGGTTACTACTGACCTCCCCCAGGAAAAACAGTAAGTGTCTCTGAGCAGGCCTCGGAATGTCCCCACTGTCCTCCCTCCCCCTCCGCTCTGCCCTCCCCGGCCCCCTCTTCTACTTCACCCTGTCAGCTAGTGGCACAAGTGAAGCTGTGGTCCAAAGAGGCCGAGAGGGGCAGGCCAGGTGCTCACAGCAGCCAGCATCGGCATCCTCCTTGTCAAGTCAACTGGCGGTAGGGCCTAGGTCTCTACTACAGCCATATAGAGGGAGACACTGGTTCTATCATCTATGATGAATGGGACAAATTGCGTAAAACAGAGTCACCTTTTTAAACAATTGAGGCCTATAAAACTTCATCATCTCATAGACTCCCTTTCATATCTACTGAACCACCAGCTGGCCTCTGGAATCCACCTCTGTTCCAGCGCCAGTCCCCATTGCTCACATCAAGGCCCATGTCAGCTGTTCACTAATGGGTCCCTTTGCCTCAGACTTGTCCCTCTGAAATCCATCCTCCAAACAGCCTCCCAAAAAGAAATTTCTAAAACTACATAACTGATTTGTACACTGTTGGGGGTGGGGGCTGAACTGGCACAACCTCTGTGAAGGTCAATTTGGAAACAGCTATCAAAATTTACATAATCTTTGACCCAGCCAAGCCGAAGTACATGTGATATGTCCCTGTAGCATGTTTGTTGCAGCTAAAGTTGGAAACCATGTAAATGTCCATCAGTAGGGGACAGGTTAAAAATAAATAATGCTACACCCAGGCAATAGAATACTCCACAGCCATTAAAAAGAACAAAGAAGCTCTTGATACACTACTATGGAATGGTCTCCAGGGTGGAGCAAGTCAGAAAAGTACGGGGCAGAACAATGCAATTTGTGTTATAAAGGGGAAGAGTTACCTGTGTGTGTTGTATATGAGTGTTTGCTTCTATAAGCTACAATATTTCTGAAGGAATGAAAAAGAAATAACTTTTGGTTGTCTGTTGGGAGAGGAGCTAGGTGAGAAACAGACAACAGGGATAGGAAGGAAACTCTTGACTGTACATCCTTCTGTACCTTTTAATTTTAAACAGGGGTGTGTACTATCCATTCAGAAATAAATAAAATTATAATGTTAAGTACATAAATAATCAAAAAAACTGTGTTGTTCTCCTGATAAGAGCCCCAATTGTCCTCTGACTGAAAGCAAACTCCATGGTGTGGCTTTGGGGCCCCTTTTTTTGCTTGTTTGTTTTTGTTTTTTGTGAGGAAGACCAGCCCTGAGCTAACATCCGATGCCAATCCTCCTCTTTTTTGCTGAGGAAGACTGGCCCTGGGCTAACACCCGTGCCCATCTTCCTCTACTTTATATGGGACGCCACCACAGCATGGCTTAACAAGCGGTGCGTCGGTGCGCGCCCGGGATCCAAATCGGCGAACCCCAGGCTGCCGCAGCGGAGCACGCACAATTAACCATTTGCGCCACCAGGCTGGCCCCGGGGCCCCTATTAACTCACAGTTTTGGCACACTCTCCTTGTGCTGAACACCACGCCGCGCTTCACCGAGCCCTTCCCTATGCTCCTCACCCTGCCCCAGCACCTCCCACCCACACACACACGAGCCTGAGTCCAGCCGACCCCAGAAAATGCGACCTCTCCCCAAGTCCTCCTGCCACCAGTCACAGGGCTATGTGGCCAGGTCTTGAGGCAGGACAGGACAAAGCCTGCAGGTGAAGAGCGAGGAGGAGCGTCCTGGGTTCCCAGCCTGTGCGCCATTCTCCGAGAAGACTGGAGAGCTGCCTTCACAGCAGAAGGGTCCCAGCGCCCGGCTGGGTGGGCCTCCAACTCTGGTGGGCAAAGCTGTATCCACAGAGACAAGGCTGCTCTACCCATGGGTCACTGAAGGATTCTTCAAGAGCAATTCTGACTACCCAGGCTCCCTCTGGAACCTCAACATCACCCTCTACCTATCTCAAACTGTTACTGACCCCACTTTCCAGATGAGGAGATCAGGCTTTAGAGACGTTAGGTGACTGCCCTTGGTTATTCAGCAAACAGGCAGTAGAGAAGAGCCTGTTCTTACCCACATGCCACATGGCCTGTCTTTCAGAATGGGAACCCACCCCTCTCCATCCTCCTTTCCCATAACCCTCACCCACTCCCCACTTCACATTGAGAATCAAGGCATACTACACATTAATTTTCACCCCTTCCCTGCCCTACCTTTGCTTCTGCTCCTCTCTGCCCAGACCTCACTGGCCCGGGCCCTTCCTCCTCACCCCACCCCCACGGAGAACTCACAGACCAAGGCCTGGGTTTTCAATCTGTATGCCCGGCACCCAGCATGAGACCCAGAGGGGGCACAGCTTAATCAACCTTCTTTGGACTGCACCAAGCAAATGAATGCTCCCCCCCCTCAACTCTACTTTATTTACCAGGAATCTGTTCCTCTTCTCAGAGATTTCATTTCCTACTGGTATATGAAACTATCCAGAAGTGCCTTGTACTGGCCTGGTGGCTGGAGGGGAGACACTCATGCATTCCATGTATTTAGCCCACCTCACTTCTGATGCTTGTTAGGATCCTGGGGATGGGAAATGAAACTGAACTGACAGGCCAAGAAAGATAAGTGGAGACGGAAGCTGGTCAGGATTTCATCAGGGGCCCTACTCCAGGATCTACAAGCTGCCTTTGTTGCAGGGAGCACACAGCTCTGCTCCAAAAGGCCAGGCTCTTGATCAGACTTGCTGCAGTGCAGCCAACATCAGGGACTTCTAAGGAGACCAGAGGTCACAGCGACTTAACTGGTCCCACTGAGAATCAGGGCACCACTGGAAACCAGGGGTCAGCCTCAGGCAACTGACCGGTGCCTGGCAGCAGCTCTCAGTTACTCTCATTTCTTCATTAAACTTTGATCAGATGACAGGAAGTGACATAACTAGCCCGTCTTTTCTTTTTCAGAATCCCTAGTTTTTCCACAGAATGAATCAAACAGTGTCCTTCCCAATTCCCATGAACCCAGGGTAGGAAATCACTCTGAGACTAGAGGCACAGAGTAAGCGAGTGGGTCGGAAACACAAGTCAAAAACTCGCAGCTTACAAATGACCCTCTATATTTTTCAGTCTATCAGAGCTTTTCATCTAGTGGTACTGACTACAGAATCCTTTAAAAGTTTGCAGACTAATTATAACAGGGTTAAAGTTTCTCAGTACTTTAAAAATTACAATTTCCAAGTCTGTAGAGTATATATCTGAATCATTTCAAAATTAAAAATATAGAAAAACTTACAAAGGTCAGCATCTAACAAAGTACAAGTTATCTGTGAGATGTAATTTTCCTTCTGAGACTGAAGGAAAAAAAAACTGTTGAAAAAAAAGGTTCAGCTGGAGAAACATAAAACTTTAAACATATTTTAGCAAGCTCAAAATCAGATATCTAATCAAAATTTGATTTTTAATCAAAAGCTACAGGCATCCTAAAAGGAAGAAATAATATTAAATTTAAAACAAAGAAAAATGTATTTTTATTTACTTATTTTTTTTGAGGAAGATCGGCCCTGTGCTAACGTCTGTTGCCAGTCTTCCTCTTTTTCTTTTTTCTCCCCAAAGCCCCAGTACACAGTTGTGTATCATAGTTGTAGGGTTGTAGCTCTTCCACGTGGGATGCTGCCTCAGCGTGGCTTGATGAGCGGTGAGTAGGTCCACGCCCAGGATTCGAACCGGCAAACCCCAGGCCATCGAAGCGGAACACACGAACTTAACCGCTACGCCACCAGGTTGGCCCCAAGAAAAATGTATTTTTAACTGGTGACTTATTAAATATTCAATAAACGATGTAAATACATTGTTACCAACAATCTAAAACTGCAGTGGCAATTTATATCCTACTATTATTAAGACCATTTGCCCAAAACAGCAAATCTCCGTGTGCCTCAGCTTCCTCATCTGTGTAAGCAGGACAACGACGGGCCGAGTCACTGGACTACAGTGAAGATTACAATGAGATAACACGTGGGAAGGGTTTAAAATAGCACCTGGGATGTAGGAAATCCTCCATACCGTTAGCTGCTAGGACTGTTTTTCCTTTCACGACTCCCACTGTGGCATGCACTGTGGTGTTCTACATATCTTCATCCCATTCTACCTGCATCTCAGCACTGCAGTGTGGGTATCACAGACAAGAAAACAAAGTCTCAGAGAACTGAAGTAACAAAGTCCAGGTCAAGGAACAAGGACTCAGTCAGACAGATGTGAATGGGGCCCAGGGACTTCTTTCTACCACAGCACCCTGCATCCCTGAGCAGCAACGTCTCGCATCCAGAGTAAAACACTGGCTCTGTGGGCGGCGGGAGTGTGTGCACCAGCCCCTGCGGATGCTGCAGGGCAGCAGAGCAGGTGTCAGAGGTCCCCCTCAGACTGCAGCTCCCGGAGCCCAGGATGGGAGGAGGGGCTGCAGCTCTACAATCCCGGGGTGCTGTCATTACTGCTGTTATTTGTATACATTTATTCAATGTATTGTTTGCCTCCCCATTTATGGGCAAAAAGACTAAGAAGGCTCAGGCACGTTAATAACCTGCCCCAAGCCATGCAGCTAGGGTGAGAACCCAGCATTGCCAGACTCCAGCACAGGCTCAGCTGTCCCAGCCCTGAGGTTCTGCCAGGTGTCAAGACTTCAATCACACTGCGGCCGTTCTGCTCCCTTAAGGAGAATCCTCTCAGGTGTGTATCAGTTTTGTGCATTTCAGTTTTCCTCCCCCTGCTACTTTTCCTCAAGGAGGGCGACCCTGGAGTTTCCCTCTCAAATTCCTAGTGTATAGGAGAGTGCGCAACTGTGCAGCAGGGATGTCCATCCTGCCCCACTCAGCACAGAATCAGAGCATCCAGAAATGGAAGGAGCTTAGCAAAGAGGGTCATTTTGCAGGCGGGGAGCCAAGGCCACAAGTGAGAGGAAGAGGCAAAGGCAGGGCTTGGAGGCACCCGGCCAGATGTTCAAATCACAGCCCTACCAGGAGCCTCAATTTCCTCATCTGTAAATCAGAATCTAAACAAAGACGCCCACTGCAGAAGGCTTGACGACAACAAAGGGGCATGGCTGCCGGGCCCTCGGGAAGCGGGAGCTGTACTTAACGGCTGTCGGTGCCGAGTCAAGGTCTTGGCTCTCGGCTCAGCCTCAGCCTGTTGCTCCCACTAGTCCAGGCGGCCCCCAGGCAAACACATGTGGACAAAGAACTGAGGTCACTGGCCGAGCGGGGGAGGGGAGGAGAAGGGGGCACGCTCAGACTCCAGGCCCCACAGTGTGCACGGGCCTAGCGACTTCCTGGGCACGGGTGGTATATTTGACTCACTCACAGTGCCTGCCAGCCCTTCCTCACGCCCTGGCGGCGGGCCCTCTTCGGGGCCTGCCTCCCTCCCTGAAGTCAAACATTCACGCTGTCTCATGCTGCTACTCAATTGCCAGGGTCACTTCATCCACAGCAGGATATACCATGAGTGGAACAGGCTGTAGGCCCTGGCCAGGCCCACACCCTCAGGTCGGGATTCAGGAGCTTTAGTCACTGGAGGAGGCTCCGGGGACCTTGACTTTTGTTCTTACCAGACAAACTTTCGCAACAGCTTCAGCTGCAGGGAAGTTTCATAACGCTATCGCCCTCTCTGAGCTCCAGTTGCTCATCTGTAAAACAGAGGCGATAACTCCAGTTCACTTGCTACTGACCTAGTTGGAAACCTCAGCTACGGATACAGGAGACAGCCCAGAGGGATGGTATATTCTGATCTGGGCATGTGAGCAAGGGAATCACAAAGGGGGTGCTGCCCTTCTGCGGGAAGAACAGGGCAGCAGCTTAGAGGCCCTCCTCGAGTGCCAGGGCAGGCACGCCCTGGAGAGATGCGGGGCAGGGAGGCAGGGGAAGCAGCAGGCTGAGGGGCCAGCGGGGTGGGCCAGGCCCCAGCTGAGGCACAGCTCCACCCCTGCCAGCTGTGCAGCCTCAGACAAGTATACCGCTTGACCTCTTGGCACCTGGGACTCCTCTGTCAATGCTGATGCCTGAGACAACACCTTAAGGTGTGAGGAGGGTGTCTAGCACAGCACCTGGCGGCACTGAGAGCTCAGTAAACGCAAGCTGCTGTCAGTACTGGCGTTTGTATCACAATGCCCAGCACAGTGAGAGCTCAAAGAGTGGCAGTCTCCTTCCCTATGACTCACGGACACACAAAAGGCCCATGCCCTGCCCAGGAGGAGGAGGAGGAGGAAGAGTATTAGCAGCAGGGAAGAAATACTAACAATACCTCCCCCAAATCTAACAGAATTCATGAGGCCCCATGCAGGGGTCCTTGGTAAGTGCCAGCCAATAGGCTGGAGCACTGTGTCCACCAGTGGGCAGGAAATCCTTATTGTTTTAACCCGGCCTGCAAAGGTGGGCTCCTCCACAAACATTCTGCCGAATTCCACCAGACCAGCAGGGAGACACCGAAGGAGGAGAACCTGGGCAGGCACGACTGGACATCTTCCCTAAGTCGGCAAGGTCCCACGACTCACTAACAACAAAACCCTGGCTTCCTGTTCTCTAGGTAAATGATGTGCCACACCAAATGGACCAGAAGAAGAACAAGTTTCACGTGTTCCAAACACCGCAGGTAAAAAGAGGGAGTGGAGCTGACATAGCACCCAGTGGAATCAGTGTGCTGTTTGACTGCCAAGAAACCCAAAAGTATCGGCCACAATCCAAATGACAGTCACCATGGAGTGGGAGCTGGATTGGTGCCAAGCCCTGGGCTCGTGACTTCAAATCACTGTTGCAAACCGACAACTTACAGATGCACCAGCCTCTGAAAAGAGCATTGTTTAGCCTGCACGGTGCCTCTGAGAATATAAACACGCTGCCAACACTTACAATCCGAGAGGTCACACAAAAATCTTTACAAATCAGCAGATGTGGCAACCCTGGGCCTGCATCTGACATGGCCAAGCCATCTGACATGGCCAAGCCATCTGACATGACAACAGCCATCTGATAGCTGCCCCCTAAGAACAGCTATGTATTCCCAATTTGACCCTGCTCCCCACAACTCCCTTTTGCCTCATACCCTGGCATTTATACTACAGCCTGGCTCCTGATAGGCATATGAGCTTGTGACTTCTGTTTGTTATGCATGAGCTCTGACCCTCACCACAACCCCATGAGGAGGAGACTCTCCCATTTTAATAAAGAGAAATCTGAGGTCTGGTCACAGGCAGGGCTAGAACCTGGAGCTGTCTGACTTCAAAATTTCTGTTTTTTCTATTGCCACCTGCCTCTTGGCCAGAGTCCTGCATTCCTGAGTCTCCTGGGAACCCTACGGCATCCCGAAGAGCAGGAGGGAAAGGCTCTGCGGATGGGAAGAGGAAGAAAAGCAGATAAGGTGCAAAGGCAAACTGCCAGTGTCCTCTAGGACACATCAAAAACCCGAGGCACAGTCCTTCAACAGGGCGCGAGAGGAGCCATTTATCACCACCTAAAGAAGCCCACGAGGAGAACAATGGGAGCGATGTTAGCAGTGGAGGAACAGGGGAAACAACAGAGAGAGCCCGTGTAAGAGACCAAGGGAAAAAATAAACAGCCGCAGACAAGACAGCAGACAAATAGAGATGCTGGACCCCCGCCAAAAGGAAGGAAAGCCAAAAAACAATAAACGCTGGAGACTCACGGCAAAACACCCACAGGGCAGAGAGAGGGCAGTGGTGCAGAATGATTGCTGCTGGCTGCGAACTCCTGGGTAAGTTACCTTCCCTCTCTGAGCCTCACCATCCACAGCTATAAACGGGGAAAAGCATACCACTGTGACACAGGGACAGTGGGTAGCTGTCTAGATAAAACTCAAGTTGGATCTCTACCTTACGCATTACACCAAAATAAATTCCAAATGGAATAAAATTTAAACATAAAAAATAAAACCATAAAAGTACTGGAAGACAACACATGAATTTTCTACAGTCTTAAAAGTAACAAGTACCTAGGTAAATACAAAACCTAGAAACATATGAAAGAAAAAAAGTAAGGACTGACAAATTCAACAACAGAAAAATCAAACATTTTTGCATGGAAAAAAAATTATGATAAAGGCCAAAGATGACTGGGGAGAGGAGGTTAAAATGGACATTACCCACAAAGGACTGACTGCTCTACTCTCCTTAACATTTAAAAAGCTTCTTCAGGGCCGGCCCTGTGGCTTGGTGGTTAAGTGCGCGCGCTGCGATGCTGGTGGCCCGGGTTCGGATCCCGGGTGCACATCGAGGCACCACTTCTCCGTTCATCCTGAGGCCGAGTCCCGCATACAGCAACTAGAAGGATGTGCAGCTACGACATACAACTATCCACTGGGGCTTTGGGGGGAAAAAATAAAATAAATAAAATCTTTAAAAAAAATAATAAAAAAAAAATAAATAAATAAATAAAAAGCTTCTTCAAATTGGTAATAAAAAGAACAATCCAATCAGAAATGAAAACAGTATCCCCAGACAGTTCACACTCCACACATTCCCCGAGCCCCTCCTGCTGCCAGGCCTGGGCTGGTCGCAGCACACCAGTGATGAAAACAAGAGGACAGTCCCCACCTCTTACGCTGGACCCACTGGCCAGTGAGGAGAGGCCAAACGCAAACAATACACATAACACATGAATGCCACAGACAGGCAGAAGATGGCAAGTGTCCTAGAGAAAACTGAGCAGGAATAGAAGGCTCAGGAATGTATGGGAGGCAGGCAGCTTGCAATTTTAAATTGGGCTGTCAGGATGGACCTCAACGAGAAGGAGATATTTGAGCCAGGACTCAGAGAAGCGGGGCTGGCAGTTAACTAGAGGAAAAGCATTCTAGGCAGAGGGAGGAGCCAGAGCAAAGACCCTATCGGGTATCGGGGTGTCCGAGGACAGCGAGGAGGCCAGGGTGGCTGGAGGGAAGTTAGACAGGAAGCAGGGGCAAAGAAAAGAAATACAAACAGCTCAGACATATAATAAGATGCCCTACCTCACCAATAACGAGACAAATGCACATTGAAACTACACTGAGATTCTAGTTTTCCCCTCGTGGGTTGACAAAATAATACTGACCATAATAATAGGAGCTGACAAGTAGCAAGTCCTTGCCCCGCCAGGCACTCCAGTTACACACACTGACTCCAGACACCCTGAGTTGATATACCTATTTAGAGATGAGGAAGTCAGGTCACAGAACGAGGCAGAGGGGCTCGAATTCAGTCAAGCTCTGCAGCTCCAGAGGCCACGTCGTCCCTCAAAACATTTGATAACACCCGTGGCGCTAAGGGTGGGGGAGACAGACAATCCTGTCCATTTGGAACACATGTTGGCAAAACCTCTTTGGAGGCTATTCTGGCAACAGCCATCAAAAGTACAAATGCATATATCCTGTGACCCAGCAATGTCCCACATGCACATGAGGCACATACAAGGCCATCATCGAAACATGCTTCCAAGAGCAAAAACATGGGGCTGGCCTAACAGCCCATCAGGAGGGAAGTAGTTACCTGCTTCCAGTCCACATAACCGAATATTACACAGCTACTGGAAAGCATAGAGTGGCTCTATATTCCCTGAGTAGAAGGCTCGCCAAGAGAGCATGCACAGTACACTGCCATTTCTACAGATTTTACATGACAAAGTATGTGCTTGAAATCATTGTCCTTGGAATTTTTAGAAGAAACTGCTCACAGTGGTTTGCCTCTGGGGCCTGGGGTGAGAAAGATCTACTTCTTATGGTCTACACTTTTACACCTTTTAAATTTCGAACCACACGCATATATTATTGATTCAAAAACAATTTCTTTTTAAAAGCAAAGCTATCACTGGAAAACCAGTATCACTTACCATAAGTAAAAGGATAAAAAAAAAAACCCAAGAAAAATAAAACACTGCTATTAAATTCTAGCCAGACGCCACTGCTGCCACAGGTGCGGCGCTCGCAATGGTAAGAGAAGTGTGAAAGCTCCAGGCACCAAATAGAGACCTTCTCCTTAACGGAACCAGAGGATTTAAAGAACTCTAAAGAGGGAATAACTTTCTCACCACAATTAACATCCCTTAACGTGGTACCTGCACACACATAACATCATCTCAGACACCATTCTCCACACCTTCTCTCCTGTTAGGAAACTTTTGCAAAGAGCCTGCATTTGATCCTATAAGTTAAGACAATCCAATGGTGGGGGCGGGGGCAGAAGAGAGATGGAGGTAGACACCCAAGTATGTCTGTTTAGAGGTCATAAAGATATTCTGTCAACAACATTTCATCCTTCCACAAGACCAATGTAAAAGCCACAGTTTTGTCCTCACACCACAGTCGGTGGTGGTCACTTGCCAGAGAGCAACTCCCAAGTCTGGGTGCACCAATCGGACAACACATTTGAAGATGGGCATGAAGACAACCAAAGAGTGAAGGGTATATGGGAGTTTTCTGTACTACTGCAACTTTTCTATAAATTTGAAATTATTTCAAAAGTTTTAAAACAAAAAACAAATGACTAAAGGGTCAGGGAGTTGGGGAAAGGGGGAAAGAGAATTCATTAAGTATCTAAGACTGCACCATGCACACTACTGCAATTACTCTTCACAACAGCCCAGGAAGGAGGTATTTATTAATAGTCACACTTTCCAGATGAAGAGACCAAGACTTGGAGAGATTTGAAGTCATACAGCTATGACTAGAGGCCTGAATTCGAACTCAGAGCAGTGTGTCAGCAAAGCCCATGCTGTCCCCGGAGCCCAAGAGCCAGTGCCCACCATGAGACCAACGGAAGAGGGAGTCAAGGAGCTGCCCAAGTTCAGAGGTTGAGACCAGATGTCCCCATCTGACAGAAATACAAAGGAACTGATCTTAAATGGAAGCATGAAGGAGCTCAGGTAGATCTTTAAGAGAACTTCCTGAGAGGCGGGCCAGTGAAAATGTGGATGGATAACCGGAGCTCTTTGCTGGAGGTCTTCAGAACAGCTGTTGTCCCGGACTAATTGCCCCAGGAACACAAAGGTGGGTTCAGAGGCATTTAACTGTTTTTCCAAATTGTTTTTTTCCCTTTGTAATGTTAAGAGATGCAACCACCAACCACCCTGAACCAGACCAAGCCTCACCACAAGAGCTACGCCCATGACCTTTGCCTTATTTTTAACGCTAAGGTCTCTCCAGGAGGAGCTTAGGCCTCACTACCTTAACCTGCAGAGTGGGGAGGCGCGTTTTCCAACTGAGCCTCCATAGGAGAATACCCGCCTCTCTCTTTTGAATATTCATTCCCCACCGGAAATAAAAGGTCCCTGCTTCCTTTGCTCAGGGAGAGCCATGACTTTGGAAATGATTCCGCAAGGTCTCCTATTTACTGCAAATATACCTTACTTTGTGTGACAACTACTTCTGGTGGAGAGTCTGATTTAACTCACCAGGAGGTGAAGCCACTTTGGTTTTGGTAACATTGTGTCCCACTTCAGGGAGGGAATATGAATTAAACCAGGCTTCTCCATCCATCAACAGTCATGTGCTGCATAATGACATTTCGGTCAACAACAGACCACATACACAACAGGGGTCCCATAAGATTAGTACCATTTAGCCTAGGTGTGCAGTAGGCTACACCATATAGGTTTGTGTAAGTATACTCTATGATGTTCGCACAAGGACGAAATCGCCTAACGACGCATTTCTCAGAACGTATCCTCATCGTTAAGCGACACATGACTGCACCATTTTTGCGATTTCTGCCATGCCCGTGGATACTACTTCTACTATTATTTACTCATATGTATTTAACTCAAGTCATTTTTTTGAACTCAAATGCATTTATATTAAAAAGAACTTTACATGACAACAAATACATTAAACTTGCCATAAGTAGAAGTTAACTGTAAAAAAAAATAAAATGAGAAAACAAAACACTGTGATGCAATGTTATTAAATGCTAACTAGATAATGCTGCCTGCTGAAGCTCTGAGCCCGAGGCCTGCTCCCTGTTAAAAAGGGATCCGCAAGAAGTAGTAAAAGACATACTAGCACTAAATCAAGTCTCTCTCTTCTCTCTTGGATGAGAAGTGGAAAAGACACGACCTTCTGACTCTGCCAAGCCGGAGTATTAACCACGCGCCAGGCACCGCCTCACACTGCTGCCTCATCACCAGGCGTGCGGCCCATCTTTAGGAGGCACTGGAGTAAACACCACTCACGTCGCCCTCCTCAGGAGAGGAGCAGAGGCAGGGTCAGGGATCACAGGAAGAGCAGAGGTGTCCACGCTTCCTCAGGTAAAAAGGCCAAAGGGGATGCCAGCCCGCTGCCAGCTCCTTTCCAGGCAGAGGCAGGCGCTTGGGCTCTGCAAGGCCTGGGCTCCCACCTAACCAGGGAGTTTCGCCTTTTTGCTTCTTTAAGCTACTGTGTCATACACAGTCTATCTGGGGTAATCTTTTTAGCTGACTTTGCGCAACAGTACAGCTCCTGTTCGAGAGCAGTGAAAAGCAGCAGAAAATGGAATTTGAAATGTAGAAATAAAATAATTGTGGGCCATGAGCTATAATTTGATTTCATGCTTTACAAGGAAATGAAAGAAGGCTTCCTTAAAATGTATGGTTTCTGCTTTCTCTCCCCTCTCAATCTCCCTCCCCCCCTTTTAACCATTTTAGGATTTCCTCTAGCACCGAAGAGAAAATAGGATTGTGGAAAACGTTCAGTTCTCAAGTGTCACTGCCACTCAGGGGCAAGCTCGATTTTAATGTGAACTTCCCATTCTGGGTAAGAGGAAATTCTTCAATTAATAAACCGGGTGTGCGGAGGCCAGTCTTTAAGGTTTAATCAATTTCATCTGTACTTAGGATAAAAAGACTGACTATTCTACTTTTTTTCTCGTTTTCCTTCTTTAAAAAAATAATAAAATGAATGTTTTATTTTAAATTCTTTGAGGTTCGTATCTCCTGTTTCAGGAAATATTGTCTATTTCATGCAGTGAGTATGAAGACTCCCCCCTCCTTTTTTACTTTTGCTAAGAATCTTTTTTCAAAAATAACTAAATTATCCTCTGCCCTCATATACTATAACAGCTTGGGAGATGATACGAATTACACAGGATTTTGGCAGACACCTGGCGGGGGAGGGAAACAGAGACAAATCACCAAATATGGATGCAAGAGCTTCTTGTGGACAAAACAGTAAGAGACTGTATAAAAATGTAAACTATGAAGAAAACCCGTCTGGGGGCGGCCTAAGCAAACTTCACACTCAGTGATGTCTGAGAGACCCAACCTAAACCTCACCTAGGAAAGAGACCCTGCCCCGGGGCCATCCTGTCTCTCCCCGTCTCTGGGCCAGGGCTCTCTCGCCCAGGGGCTCTCCCAGCCAGTCCGGCACCAGAGGGCGGCTCTCCAGGGAGCTCTCCGAAGCAGCACCGAATAAACATTCGGATTAGCTGATCAACCGGGAACAACAGGACTTTAGAGGGATAGAGAATTCCTGAATCTTTGTTCCATGGTCACTCTGGGTACACTGGGATTCCAGGGCAGAGGTCATGGTCAGGCCCCAGAGTGGAGGGTGAAGAGCACAAGCTTTGGGGAGGATCAACTCCAGTCAGAACCTCTGCTCCACTTAGCAGCTGTTGTGTCTTTCACAAAACAGCTGAACTCTCAGGGCCTGTTTCTTCATCTAAAAAATACAGATAAAACCACTACTAACCTTTTAGAAAGTTACGTGACGGGCCGGCCCCGTGGCTTAGCGGTTAAGTGTGCGCGCTCCGCTGCTGGCGGCCCGGGTTCGGATCCTGGGCGCGCACGGACGCACCGCTTCTCCGGCCATGCTGAGGCCGCGTCCCACGTGCAGCAACTAGAAGGATGTGCAGCTATGACATACAGCTATGTATTGGGGCTTTGGGGGAAATAAAATAAAAATTAAAAAAAAAAAGAAAGTTACGTGACACCTAACACAGTATTTGGAACAAAGAAGGTACCTGATCCATAGGAACAGGAGGACCCCTGTGCAATTCAGTGTAATCCCAGGTCTTCCCAATGCTTTTATCAAGGTGCCTTGGGAAAAATGCTACACTTTAAGTCAATATTTTTCACTAAAACTCTGTAACTCTAGGGCCCTGTCAATGTGATATCCATTGTGAAAATGAGCAAGAAGGCCTCATCGTTCATAACAGTGACTACCAATGATCAAGGGTCTAAACTTCACTGGCCACACTGCCAGGCAGTTAACCTAAGTTTGAGAAATATGAGGCTCAGAAAAGGCAGAAACAGCGCTCAGCGCACAGTGAGTGCTCACTAAGTGAGAGGGAGGAGGGCAAGGAGGAGGGGAGGGAAGAAAGGAGAGAGGGGAGGAAGGAGAGAGGGGAGGGAGACAGAGAAGGAAGGAGGGAGGGAGGGGCAGGGGAGGCGAGGGGATAGTGCAACCGGAGATCGCACAACTCCTGCAGCCACAACTCCTACAGCCAGAACAGCCAGACCTTGGTGAAGCCAGGAGCCACACCTGCCTCTGCCTGACCTGAGGCCCATTTTGGTTCCACCAGGCCTCCTAAGCGGCACTAAAGAAGATTTCTCTTGAAGACAGCACCCTGTGATCCCAGAGATAAACTCTGAAGGAAAATTCACCAGGAGTCTTTCCATCTCTAGGAGCAGGCCAGCCCCGGGTTTGGGGGCACATGCATCTTCCCTTCCTATGGAGAAACATGAGGAGAAACACCAGCAGATGTGCAGGTCACCGTGAGAACGAGGGCCGGATACGTGGAGAGGGAGACACACATGGGCTTTGCAAGGAACATCCTGGATCCCACCTCAGCTTCCCCTAGCATGCCTAGTGAGACCTGGTTCAAGGGCCTTATACCTCGCTGAGCCTCAGTCTCTCCCATCTGCAAAATGGGAATCATATATTATTTACAGATCATGCATGCAAACCCCATAACCCAGGGGCCGGCACACAGCAGGTGCTTAATCACGGAAGTCACAATTATCACTTGGACCTGAGTTCTTGGACCCGAGTTTCCATTCTCACAAATCCTAGCACTGGACCAAGGCCTGTCCTGAAATGGAGACAGTGAAGAGTCTGCAGGGCCTAGTGGGCACCTCAACTGGGTGATGGCGGCTAGGCCCAGGATGGGGTGTAAGACTAGAAGAGAGGGAAACTCCTGTGCCCCAGCTAGAGGGGACCATTTCTCCTCAGCTCCAGCCCACATGGCCAGACAGGAATGTGGGCCTGGAGTTGCCAAATCTTCCAGTTTTTCAAGAGAAGCCAAAAATCTGGACTATTATATGAAACTTGCCAATTTTTAAATGTTGACAACCAACACAAAAGAATGTTTAAGCTGTATGGCCCAAACAAAACATGTCCATTGGCCAAAACTGGCCCGCAGCTCCCCAGTGTGAGATCCCTGGAGCGAGTCTTCTCCAGAAAGGAAAGCTGGAAGACAGAATCAACAGCCAGCTTCTCTGGCGGTCACCTGTGTGAATCAGAAAAGCACTCGGCCACAGTGTGCTGAGCTTGCGGGGCTGGCAGCCCCAACCCCTCTTGCCCTTATGACCCACACTGGGCTTTGAGGGGGTGGCGAAGGGGAATGCCGGCACGGGTTTATCCTGAAGGAAAGGGCAGTGGGCTCTCTGGAGTCACCAGGCCCCAGAGGGCCAGAGCGGGGGACGAGAGGCCTCAGCACAGACCTGGCCCCCACTATCTCCCTCCCTGGCCTCGACCTCTTACAGGGCAGATGAGGAGGAGGTGCTGGCTCCCCCACACCCCAACGTTCTGGACTGAGGCCCTACCTAGTATAGCACAGCAACACTGCGTAAAAACAGGGCTCACAAAAACAGTGCCTACTTCATAGGACTGTCATGAGGACCAAAGGAGCTCATGCATGTACAAGCTCCAGTGTCTGACATAGTCCCTTCTCTCTGGTGGGGTTTCTCCCTATAGTTTCAAGCATAGATTCCCATACCAAGTCTCAAAATACTCCCAGTAGGTAGAAAGTCCAAGAATAACCTAAGACAAAGATTTTCCTGGAAGAATGAAGCAGGAAAACCTCAGAGACACCAGGCTGGAATTTCCTCTGGGACAGAAGTTACCCTCAAGAGTTCTCGGTATAAGCCCTTTCCACAGGAAATGAGTGTTGTCTTCAGAGCTAACATGTAATGGGGTGCTTCCTATGAGTTAGGCACTGTTCTGAGTGCTTTGTATACATTAGCTTATTTAACTCAGAAAAATGGGGGATCAACACCCCCATTTTTCAGATGAATACACCAAGGCACAGAGAGGTCAATTCACTTGCCCAAGATCAAAGAGCTAGCCAGTGGCGGGGACAGGATTCAACCTCAGGTACTCTTAGCCCAGAGCCCTGGTTTCTCAAAGAACTATGTTACCCTGTGTGGAGAAGAGAATGGGAAGCTCAGAGCTCCCATTGAGGAACAGAGAGAAGGACAGTGGGGTTGGGCCCCCTCCCCACCTTACCTCTCCAGCCTCATCTACCACTCCCCACCCCTCACACTCCATGCTTCAGCTGGACGCCTTCTCTCAGCTCCTCAATCAGCCATGCTCTCTGCTACTCTAGGGGTTGGCACATGAACACGTGCCTGAAGCACACTTCCCAAGTGTCACTTCGGCTGGCACCTCAGCCTTCAAATCTCAGCTTAGATGTGACCTCCCAGCTACTTTCCTGACTCACACTGGTCTGGATGAGGTGGCCCTCTCTCAGGGTCCCAGAGTCCCCACACTGCCCCAGGACAGCCCTGTTCTGTGATTTACTGGTTCCCCTGCAGCCTCACCCACTCGGACAGGGACCTGGGCTGTCTTTTTCCCCACAGAATCTCTCATATCCAGCAGCACAGAGTGGGTGCTCAACAAATATTTACAGAGTAAATGAAAAGAACTGGGAGGCCAGAGAAGACTAAGCATTTTAAATTATTTAGAATGTCCCCTCCATTAGCAATTAATGGATTCTTCTCCATACTTTAGTGATGATGTCCCAGTATACTCCAAAATGTACGTGTACTTGTTTAGAAACAGAAAGAGAAGGAAGAAAAATTGAGCCATGAAGCAACCATGCCAAGGACAGAACCACACGTCATGAAGATCAGGTGGCCCATGGCCTGCAGAGAGGGCCCAGGGACTGCTGAGGGCTGCGTCCACTTGGAGAAGACCCCAAGCACACCCCCAGTGAGGAGGAGGTTGGGTCCTCACATGTCCATTTTACAGATGAAGAAACTGAGACTTGGGGTGGTTAAAAAAAAACGCATCCAAGGTTACACTCTAGGTAAAGGCAGAGCTGGGACTCAGACACAGACCTTAACACTCCCTGGCCCCAGACCCCTTCCTCCAGCATGGAAATGGGATCCATCCCTCACAAGGCGCTTGAGGCAGGAAAACCACAGCTACTCTCACCAACTCTCTCATGCTCTGTCGTTCTGAGAAACAATGGTTGTCACTGTGGCCTCAGACACAAATAGGCCCTTGTAGAAACGAGTCCCCAGATGACAGAGAGCCCCTCCTCTGAAGCGGAGAAACCAAGGCAGGGCATTCTTGACCAACCCCAAGCTGAAGGTGCTGGAAGGGCGAGGCCCAACCAGAGCTCCACCAAGCGAAATGCTCTGAGTTTTGCAGAGTCACAGAGCCTGAGAAGGTGGATTTAGGAAACTCTTTACTGGGAAAGCAGGGAAAAAAAAAAAGAAAAGAAGGGGAAAATCTACCATAAAAAGTAAGTAAAATCAGCAGAATTCCTTCATGAAAAGGGTGGAATTAGCATATGGCCTCAGCTGCCAAGTGAGACCACTGAAGCAAGCAATGTAAATGAGTTCAAGATACAATTAGACATTTTCCTGGACAGAGACAGAGGGGACTGAAGAAGGCACGGCAGGTCACCTTTCAGACGGAGCAGCAGGACCACATTTCACTGTGGAGCGGCCCACAGAGCCCACCATGCAAGAGCCCTGAGCAAGTGACCACAGGGACAGGGCACAGACAGTAGGCCAGGCTGGCGTCCCAGGCAAGCATGCCCACTTTGGGGGGTTCTCCCTCCCTACTAAAAATTTCCCAATATGCCTCATACAGTAATTGCAAACCAGCTACCCAGGCACTGAAATAAAAGTCTAGTTCTGTTCCACTCTGTACATCTGTCCCCTGGGTTGGGTCCCAGGCTTCAGAGATAAATCTGACCCAGGCCCTGCCCTCAAGGATCTCACTGTCTGATGGGAGAGACACACAGAAACCCGCAATATCAACAGAGTGAAGCACATCAAAGTAAGAGGAGAAGTTTCTGCTAAGCAAGCACAGAAGAGGGGAATTTAGCAACTGAAGGAAGAGAAGAGGCCGGAAAGCTGAGGGAAGAGGCCGTTCCAGGCAGAGGACACAGCAGGAGGCTACGGAAGCCCCAGCTGCCAGAGCATCACAGAGAATGCTGAGCATGCAGCTCCCCAGGATCTTTGGGGAGAGGGCCAAGTCACCTCAAGCTTTGTGAAAAAGGATGGAATGACCAGAGGCGCCAGTCGCTGGCCCCTGGACCAGAGATGACTCGATGGCAGCAACTGAGGACAGCTGTTCCCAATCTTCTCAAGAGCGCAGCACATGTGGCCCACCCAAGGAACAGAAAATGTCAGGTCCTTGTGAAGGACACAATTTATTAGGCCCTCTTTAGCCCAATTGGTTCTGATGTCCTCCTCTATGTGGTTCACTGCATGGACTGTCTAGCTTTATCAAACTCCCTGGGCCCAGATTCCTTCAAGGTGAAATAAATGTTTACTCCAGTCACTCTAAAAGGACCACAAACATTTCCTTTGTGTTCTCAGCACACTTGCTGGCAAAGAGCATTTGCACGGCCCCTGAGCCCCTGCCCCGACTCCGAGTGGCATCTGTCCTCCCACATATCCCAAGAGTTAGAACAACCTCAGTCAACCTCTTGTGTTGATGAACTGGGTCTGTCGATTTGAAACTAGAAACAATCTGTAACACTCTGAGAAGAAAATGAGGCACGTTCCTGTCTGCGCCCAGTACCTTGTCTGTAAAGTGGCCTCACACCAGACCAGATAAAGGAGTGACAGGACACAGGGCACAAGTGCTTGGCACTGTCCTTCCCTTCTTCTCTCCAAAGCCCTGTAAAGCCTGGATGCCTGGCCACCGGACCACCTTCTACAATGGCAGGGGAGGGAGGAAAGGGATGCATGAGGTTTTCAGCATGGTGGGGAGAGGGAGGAGCAGTGGCTGGTGCTGACTCAGTGCTCTGTCCTCCTCGGCAGAGAGAAATGGCATTAAGCTCCCATTTATAAACAACCACTCTGTGCCCAGCACCACACTGGGGACACTTACACCTACGTTCACAGAATCTTTACAACAACCCTGTAAGGTAAACACTGTTATCCCATCTTTCAAAGGCAAACGCTCAGTCAGAGAGGTCACAGGCCCAAGCACACAGCAAGTGAGCAGCAGAGCCGAGGTCCCAAAGGCCATGCTCCTCCATAACCCTTCACAGCTCCCTTGTAGCCATGTCCTCATCTTAGGGGGCCTTGCCACTGCCCCTGCCCCAGGAGCAGGTCCTCAAGAATAGGCACAAAACCAAAGAAGAAACCACACTGGCCCAGGGCTGGGGCTGGACTTGCCCCACCATGGCAACCAGCTCCATCTTCTAGAGAAAAACCACTCTGTGCTGCTGTGAGGCTTCCAGAGACAGCACTCATCTTCACGTCTGCCTCACCTAGCTTTAGCCCCTAAGTCTGTGGGCTGAAGCTTTAGGCTGAGGTTAGAAGCTTCATCCTACTCAAGGTAAGCAGACCCAGGCAGCCAAGCATAGGGCATAAAACACAAAACCCAGAAAGAGAGGTGTGGACTCAAGTCCCAACACTAGTGTCTGACCTGAGGAAGCCAATTTACCTCTCAGAACCTCAAGTTCCTCACCAGTATCAAGGACCTGGGGATACATGTGTCCCTATACCCTTTTTTGGGGAGGAGGGGGGAGAACCATACTTGAGTAAAATTTTTTGGGAAAATTCCAAATACAAATGGAGTATTAGATGAAACAAAGGAATTATTAATATTGTCACCTGTGATCATGACATTGAGTTATGCAAGAAAATGTGTATATTTTTAAGAGACAGATACATAAGTATTAAGGGTAAAATGACAGGATCTTGTGAATCTATTTTAAAATACTTTAGAAAAAAATGAGGGAGGATAGTTGAACAAGCAAGGCAAAATCTTAGTAACTGTTAAATCTGCATGATGGATATATCAGAGTTCACTTGATCTTGGGTATGTTTGAAATTTTCCATTCAAACCAATAAATGAACAAGAATCACCTTGAAGACAGACTCTAGCAACAAAGAGATGAATCCAAATAAGAACTTGGGAATGAGGAAGCATGCACCAAAGGGCTGAGGGTAGCCATGGAAACCATTTAAATACAGAATCAAGTTTAAAGAACTGTGATATTTATTCTTTCATTAAAATTATGTGTCTGTCATATACCAATTGCATTTATTACAATTCTTGAAAGCAGAGATACATACTACAAATTGACTAAGAGAAAAACAGGAGGACAGGAGGGCATCACAGAGTGGGGCTTCATTCCTGAAGTCAGTAGCTTGAGACATCCAGGCTTCAGTATGTTTATGAGAGATTTAAAAGTAACTATTGGTGGAACCATTACTAACTCTAAAGTAAAATAAGCTGGAGATCTATGCAAATTAAAACAGCGAGAGGTAGAAGATCACATAAAAAATAACAGAAATAAAGACTAGAGCAAGCAAGCATAGAAAATGTTTTTAAAAAATAGAACTTGATGACAAAAGACCAACTGTATAATAATAAATGAAGAAGGGATAAACTAACCTATTAAAAGAATGAGGTTTTCAAAATACAAAACATAATCCTATTTTGATGTTTTTGGTTGGGTGGTAGTATTTGAAATTTCTTCTTTCTCTTTTTTTCTCAGCTGTATTTTCTGATTTCCCCACAATGCACACGCACGCACACACACACACACAGGCACACGCACATACACATGTGCACTGGCATTTTATGATTGCTTTCAATGGGCCAGGCACTGGCCTAAGCGTTGTACGAAGATTATCATACAACAACCCTCTGTTGTTGTTATTAAATTTTCCATTTTATAGATGAGGATATTGAGACACAGAGAGGTCAACCTTTCATTCTCTTAGTTGGCTAACAAAAGTGGCTGTAATTTTGTACATAAACTTCAGAAAGTAATTGGTAATATGTATCATAAATGGTGAGTTAGTGTCAGACTCCACAAGTTACGGGCCAGGTCCCCAACAAGACTGCCCTTATTTCAGACACTAGCCACAAGTTCGGGGTCCCCAGGCCACAGGCACCTCTGATCAACCGGCTGCAAATCTAGGGGGTTCTCACATCACCTGTCAGGTTAGATATTTCACTAAAACAACTCACAGAACTCAGGAAAGCACTATACTTAGGATTACAGTTTTATTATAAAGGATACAAATCAGGACCAGCCATAGGGCCATAGGTAAGATATGGGAGGGTAATAAATGCCTGCCCTCTCCCCGTGAAATCAGGGCACATCACCCTCTTGGCATATCAATCTGTTCACCAACCAGCAAGTTCCACTGAACCTCAGTATCCAGAATTTTTACTGGGGTTTCATTACATAGGCATGATTGATGGAACCACTGGCCACGAGACTGAACTCAATCTCCAGCCACTC